AGATTTTTTTAATTTTTGACGTTAATAATTTATTATAGATACAAGTGAAAAGTGAAGTATTTTAAGTCCATTTTTGAAACAGCTGTTTCTTTAAACTAATCAGATTTTTCAACTTTTTTTAAAAAGGTCTCTTCCAACACAACTGAAATCTTGAGTGCTGGGAAGTCAATTTTAGAACAATCTATGCACTATATAGTGTTATATAGTCAATGTTAGTACCTTTTAGTCCTAGGGCCAAAAATAATCAGGAAGTTTGGAGGTGGGTAGCTGTCTATTTGGGGTTTTTCCAGTACAATGCAATGAAACTATAAAAATAAAAACATATATCTATCAAGAAAAAGAGAAAGCCGGTAGGTTATTATTCATTTTTATTCTTAAATTCATATATATAAATATGAATTAGAATTTTTTAACCACTTTCTTTTCAAATAAAATGTCAAAGTAATCAAAGACAATTTTGTTTCTTCTTTGGTTATAATGTTCAGTTTAACGGAAGCTAACAAGGACCCAGTTCGCCTATTGGGTATGATTATGATTGGAGTGTCCAATCAAAATCGATCACCATCCCATGTTTTATACATATTTACCATCTTGTTTGAAACAGTATAAGTGTAAATATATGTTTCAAGTGTTATTTGACATTTTTATTTACTCTCCACAAAGTTTTGTTCCATTTGGTTTGTAATTCATTAATTCAGAGTTGCATTTAATTCTGAAAAATATTTGAATTGACAATTATTTTTCTATAAACAATAATTTTATTTCCCATCTAATTTCTATTTTTATTTCAGGGAAAGTATTTACCCCACTCACTATGATCCTGAGGACGGAGAGACGTTCGACTTCATCGTTGTGGGGGCTGGGTCTGCGGGGTCGGTGGTGGCCAATCGTCTGACGGAGCCTTCTGATTGGTCAGTCCTGGTCATCGAGGCTGGATACGACCCTCCACTACCCTCAGACATGCCTGTGCTCTTCCCGTGGCTGCAGGAAACTGAGATAGATTGGAGGTACAAGACTGAACCGGGATTTGGACACTGTCTCGGTATGGAGGACCAGAGGTGTTACTGGCCGAGAGGAAAGGTACTTGGTGGAACAAGTGTGATTAACTTCATGATCTATGTAAGGGGCAATGCAAAGGATTACGATGGGTGGGCGAGAGATGGTAATGTAGGATGGGCGTACGAAGACGTTCTCCCCTACTTCAAGAAGTCCGAAGATATAAGAGCTGAAGAGGTCTTGGACACCCCGGGTTATGAATATTACCATGGCAAAGGTGGTTATTTGAAAGTAGAAACATGGGAAAAGGAAGAAGTTCAACCCTTGGTCGATCATTTCATCAGTGGAATGCATGAAATAGGACACAATCTAAACAAGGATTGTAACGGTGCAACACAAACCGGATATGCAACATTGCAAGCGACTCAGGAAGACGGAAGACGGTGTAATACTGCCAAAGCGTTCTTAGCACCGATCAAAAAAAGAAATAATTTAAAAATATGCAAAGGTGCTCTGGCTACTAAAATATTGATAAGTGAAGACAGAAAAACCGCTTCTGGTATTGAGTTTACAAACAGAAATGGTGTATCGTTAAAAGTATTTGCTCGGAAGGAGGTGATTTTGTCTGCTGGAGCTGTTAACAGTCCACAACTGTTGATGTTGTCTGGGATTGGTCCAAGAAAACATTTAGAGGAGCACAACATCACAGTGGTTCAAGATTTACCAGTCGGAGAAAACTTACAAGACCACGTTCTAACATATGGAATGGTCATTACACTCAACTACACAAAACCTGATGAAGGAGTAGTGGCAGCGTTCTTAAAGTACGTATTTAAAAAACAAACCCATCTGTCCGGATTCGGCCTCGGTTCTCTGACAGCATTTATTGACTTGATTGACAACGATGACAATCCAGACATTCAAATGTATTTTGTCGATTTCTCCCAGGATTTCCCAGGTTTAAAAAGAATTTTATCCGACACGGGTCTCCGGGAAGATATAAGAGATCAGTATGCAAAACTTCACTCTGAATCGTACATAGTTCTTGTTCTCACTTCATTGCTCAATCCGTACAGTAAGGGAAGAATTTCATTGAAATCTAAAGACCCCACGATGCAACCTAAAATAGAAGCTGGGTATTTCTCTAATTACAAAGACATCCAGACACTTCTGACCTCCTATGATATAGCGACAAGTTTGGTAGAAACAACCGGCCTTAGGAGAGTCAACGCAGAGCTACATGAAATTAACGTCCCAGAGTGTAATAGATATCCATTTGCTTCAATAGCATATAGAGACTGTTCTCTTAGATATTTGACAGCAACAACTTACCATCCAAGTGGCACGTGCAAGATGGGTCCTGCAAGCTCTTCAGATTCAGTGGTCGATCCATACCTCAGGGTTAAGGGTGTCAACAATCTGCGGGTGATTGATGCATCTATCATGCCTAATATTGTAAGGGGTAACATCAATGCTCCGGTTATTATGATAGCTGAAAAAGGATCCGATCTCATTAAACAAACGTGGTTGCCAAAAAGTGATTAGAAATTGTGTAGTTATTTTATCACCTTATGGTATGTTTTGAAACCTTAAATAATTGAAACATGAATGTAAAATATAAAATAATATTAATTTTCATATTTTTTTTAATAAAGCTCTAAAAAATGTTTGTCCGATGTGTTGTTGCGATATGATTTAAAAAGTTTGTCAGGTTAAGTGTAAGAGAGGGCCATGTGGCCCTAACTTTGCCTGGTAAAATAAAGAATTTTTCAATTCATTTCATTTTAAAAATGGAGCTATTACGTTAAATATCAAACCAAATTTTGCAACAAGAATCAAGAGCGTTAAAAATAAACTACAAACTTTCATTGAATTTCAAAGTGTTTTTGGTAACAGGAGATAAAAAGCATGAACAATTCTGAAATCACATATGAACAAAAATATTTAACTACTACTCTTCAATCATGGTTTTTTGTCGTCTATTTATGCCAATTTCAATTTTATGTCGGTTATGATATGTTAAATTGTTTCATACAATACAGAAGTGGAAAAATTAATTTGATGTGAGGAATGGGTATCTAATCATAATCACAACGGATAAAACACAAAATGGATTTAAATGCTTCTCTCTTGTTAGGCAACTGTATACCATAATGATATCCATAAGATGCCAGAATCCCATAAACTACATACAATATAAGAGCAAGCAAGCAATATAAGAACAATTTTTTTGCTTGCCGATATGTTTGCTTGGCACGTTTTATTTGTGTTTATTTTCTTTATACATCAGTTGTAGATGTTCTGTATCTGTATTCTGTACCACGAATACTAGAAAAAATACCGTATGGATCATAAACATGAACAAATGACGTTTTTGGCCCGAAAATAAGCATTATTTAACATTGCTTAAATGGAACTGCCAAAACATATGTTCAATGCTATTAATTAGCATTGACTTTATATCTACATGTAGATATAAAATCAATGCTATTAGTATAGGATTGTTACTGTTCAATGAAATGGCGACCATACATTGTAGCATAGATAAAACATAGTCTATGATTGTAGGTATTTTAAGCAAGTATGAATGGAGATGAGTGGCGCGATCTTGTAGTCTTGTTAGTGACTAAGGCCGACATTCCTTAGACACAGCTGTTAATTAATAGCCCATAGACCTACAGCTAATGGCAACTAAGGGACCTACAGTTTATAGTGGAATCCGAACCACATTTTTCCTTGGTATATACGAATTGGTCTAATTATCAGGATAGTACTGTGGATGTCGTAGTACTCACTCGTGCGGACGTTAGTCCACACCAGGGAGTATCGCATCCACAGTGCATGCCTATAAATATCCACAATTCGTGACCTCCTAGTACAGTAGCTGGATTACAGGACGACGCCACCCGTGATTCGGGCCAACAACGTCATTTGTTTATGTTTATGATCCATACCGGTATTTTTCTAGTATTCGTGTTCTGTACCAATAAAAATCTTCAACTAGATGGGTTGAAAACAATTAAAAATCCAACACTGGACTTGAAGTTACAAAATAAAAATAAATCAATGTACAGTAGCTGTTTTTAAATAAATAAGTTTTAAGTGTCATTTTTTAAGTTAACGAACTCGAGGAACACTTGTTCGAGTTAAAATGTGAACAGTATTATGAATCATAGCATAGTAGTATCTCGATTATTGTTTTACTGATGAAGAAGAGGTGCATACTTGTACTTACAATGATTAAAAAAATAGGTATTATTACAGAGCTATACGACTCCTACCTAATTCCTGATTATTGTTGTACGGTTTTGTTTCTTGAGTTTTTGGCTGTTTAGCAGCTTTTCCAGACGTTAGTGCAGAATTGTTGTGGCATAGATTTGGTCACGAGATGGTCACGTGGTTATGGGCAGACTTATATCATGTAGATGTGGGCTTAAATCTTACAAAACACCAATGTTTTAATAATGCATTAATATGATGACTCCAAATTAGGTCCAGAGTAGCTCTCTCTAGAAAATAAAAAAATCTTTTAATTTCACGTGAGGAGAATTTGTTTAATCATCGGAGAAAACATCAAATTCATCGTTGTATAATTTTATCATACAATAATTAATATTAAAAGCGTAATGCGTCAAAGATTTTTTGACTTTTGACTGTAAGGCTGATTAGATAATGTTCATCCATAACTATTGATTACCATACTGTAAGGAACACAACTGATTATTAAAAGCTGAAGATTTATGTTTGTTGAATTTTAGTACAATTTATAAACCACTCATGATTGTGACCCTGATGAAAAATATGAATGAAATACTATGTTTTCCGTAATAGTTTAATGATATAATAACAAAATCAAAGCGCTATGACCCACAGCTTCATGCACCAAACCTTTGGCTACCAATTGTATCCTGAATGTTCTAGATTTTGAAAAAAGTTTGATTTTATTTTAGGTTATGTTTGATTGTTTGACTTAGTTAGTTGTTTGGTTATGTTGTGTTGTTGTTATTGTTTTACCAGATTCAGGTTTCAAAGAGAAATGAAAGGAATTGATATAAATCTCTAAGTAGAATGGAAAAAAATGCATCGTAATTAAGTAATAAACATGGAAAAGAATAATCTACTATTTGTGTTAGACAAATTAGCTCATACAGACATTAAAGGTAAGCTTAGAACAACTAAGTTATGGTACCACTGAAGAAAATAACAAAACTGTGTAGGCATATGTTTACAGAACTATATGGGGGTACACTTCCATATCTGTTGGCACAAACAACCGAATGAGTAATATTTATTATTCGATTGTTTAATTTGATATATCGTTTGATTAGTTAGGTTAGGTTAACCACAGAAAACGTACTACTATAACCCAGAATGCCAACCGCATGGTAAAAAGCATTAAGCGGTTTGAGAGAGCTTTGCCTGTCAATCCGTAGGCAGCGCCACCAGCGTTGCTATGCTATTGCATGGCAACGCTGGTGGCGCTGCCTACGGATTGACAGGCAAAGCTCTCTCAAACTGCTTAGTGCTTTTTACCATGCGGTTGGCATTCTGGGTATAGTAGTACATTTTCTGTGGGTTAACCTTACCTAGCTATAACCAAACGATATATCGAATGATCAATATATCGATCGATATTTTCATTCGGTTGTTTGTGCCAACAGATATGGAAGTTTACCCCTATATGGTTCCTTTCGGCTAGGCCTACTTAATAATGTACTTCTGTTTTCAATGCCTCAAATTGCTTCATTGCATCAGTTACTTATTAGGCCCTATGTTTTTTTTTTTTAGGTTTCAGTGTTATTTCAAGGAAAGATTGTAACAGATTAGGCCTAGGCCTATAATATATTTTCAAATAGTTGTTTAGCTTTCAAATTACTTTATTATAGGCCTACTTAAAATGATTTACAATACCAGCAATAGTACTGTAATCCTTTGTTGATGTTTTGGCTGTTGCTGTTAGTTTCGGTTCCTCTGAACCATCATCAGGCCTCAAGGTGTCAGGTATTCACTTCATTATCCTAAATGTCTCACACTCTCATTCTGAAAGGCTTTCTTCTAACATCACAGCTTATGCAGCGGCACTAAGTTATGGATGAGTGGTATTGCCTGTTAAAGTTAGGCTAATTAAGTTAGCGAACTGAAACATAAAAATACCATTTAGCACGGGTTTATAAATGCATACAATAGGCCTTTCTTACATGGGCGTCCATCTAAATGTTCCATAATATATGGGCGTATGGAGGGTAAGAAATCTTAACCCCAGTAAAAAGGCGGTTCAGGGGTTTAGGTAACCATGGATAGGTAACCATAACTTTGTTGTGTTGCCTATTCAATCCAATGCTCGCCTGGTAATCAGAAGGTATCAGAAGGATTTAAATTCAACATCAGAATTTAATTTATGTGCTTCGACATTAGATTCAGCTGTCCTTTATAATTAATTGCTCTTGTTATAAATGTACCACACACCCTGGTGTATTGGAATTGTAAAAACCCAATCTAATCTGATGCACTATGCCTGTTTCAGGTATTGCCGGCAACATTGACGAGGCTTTTAAAGATACTCAACAAACGTTAGAAGAAGCTGTTCCTAACGTATTCACACTTTCAGAGTTGCAGCATTTAACAAAAAGTGAAAAATTTACAATTAATGATCATACCAGGTAATTTTTTCTTGCTCCCAATAAAATCATTTATGTTTTACTAGTTTGTCAATTGTAACAGTCTATGATAGACTCTCCACATTATCATGCTATACCTACTATACCATTTTTTAGACATTTAGATTTGTTTATTTTGCTTCAGCTATGAAAAGTTCATCTTCTTGAGCCTAGAATGTCTGCTAAGGCTGAAGGGATGCCTGGAGAGGGAGAAAGACGAGACAGGGCAGTTATTGAGTGTCGCCCACCAGAGGTCAGTGAGGTTGTTGTTGGATCACATCGTAAACTTGGGCGTCTGGCCGAACTTACTCCCGGGAGTGAGCCCTCCTGTCAACCTCGGTGCTGGCAGTGACTTGCAGAACTCACTCTCTGATTTTGAGGTTGGTTTATATATATTAGCAGAGTACCAGTCCTTCATACAAGGTTGGCGTATGAGTATAAAATGCTTATTGCATTTGTGCAGTTAAAACAACTGTCAAAATTCTTCGATTCCTTTTAAATATGAATACTCATAAGGTTAACATGGGAAACTCTTGAGCCACTGGGGCAGAGTCCCGAAGGATTTATGAGATAAGAATATGTCTATATGTTAATCGGGAATGTGAGCTATCATCATGGCAAATTTCAACCCAATCCGACCAGTAGTTAATGCGTGATTGAACTTTAAAAAAAACCAAGAAACAATTTTAAAAGAGATTTAAGCTGAATATCCTATTATGTCATTACGTTGACACCAAACTGTGTGCTTAGTAATAAGTATGGTTGGTGAAATCATGATACAAGCGTATGTTTGTGATTTTCAAAACCAGCTGCTAATACATTATTTTATGTTTTTCAGAAATACAAATGCCTCTGCCTGGTCACTTCAGGGCTTGTTGAGCTTTACCACAACGACACACTCCATGGCATCATACTGCCTCAGTTCCTCACAGCTCTTATGTGCAGCCTTTGTCAACTGACCATGGTGCCGCTGAAGAAGTCCTCAGATACTTACCTTCAGCTGCAGAAGGAGCGTCTTGTCTACCAACACCATCTAGACAACGTGTTGAACAAACTCTACCAGCCGATGGTCATCAAAGAGTTGATGATTATTGAGGGAAACCGAGTAGGTGAAAATCGATTTTGGATTTTTGTTCACTTTGACATTTTTTTCATACTTTTAACATTGTAACATCGGTATTGAGAATAAATAATCAAAAGTCAATACCAATACCAATACACGTGCCTGAGAAGACTGTGCGATCCAAAATTTTACGCTTTTTCTGATAAACAATCTAACATTTCTGTCACCACGGTAGATGATACATTGTCTTCCAGGAGAAAATTGAATTTTGCCTCGACCGCAGATGACGATGATAGTGTCTATCAATATTAAATGTAAATCAGTATTATCATGATAGTGCTACAGGTATTTAAATATTTGTGTATGTGTACCGTTTTCATGGTAGTGTCATGCTTGTTTTAATTGTGTTATTGACAAGTTGAAAGCTTTGAAAATGTTGTCTTCATTACAAAACATGTTTAAGCTACTGAGCATGCTTAATCTTTGGACAATTTGACAGAGGTACGTAAAACCTATTACTGCGATAAAAGTTTACACGACTGCGGGAGATGTTCATGATTTTGCTGGAGGTGGTAAACGATGATGATGTAAACGACCACCAAAGATGATCATGATTTGGCCGCGATATCTTAAGACGATGATGATGGATGATGTTCCCATTACTGCTGAGTAATGTTCAGGATTTTTCCGCGACCGCAGAAGACAATGGATGATGTTTTGTTGGCCTAGAAAGAAATTCAGGCTTTTGCAGTGATCGCGGAAGTGGATGAAATGAAAATGGACTCTAAATGTGTGGGAGATGATCAGGTTATTCACTTCAAGCTGAGCTTGGTCGAAAATATAAGGCTGGCACACGTCTAGTTATATATTATAAAAAATTTTAATTTTGACATTTGTTTGTAGAATTTGTATTTACTTTTGATATATGGCATTGATATTTGTCTAGAAAGGGTTTACATTTGAATTGACTAGTTCAAATTTCTCACTGTTGCTTTAATTTTTTCTTTACTTAAAAAATACCCATTACCCAAAAACATTGTTGTTCCTAAAACATAAAAAACGTAAACCTAATTAAAATAGTTTATAATTCTCGTTTTCTGATTATTTACCCTCCCCTTACTTTCACAGAAGAGTCCAAAGTGGCTAAAGCAAGGTGTTGGTAGACTGTTGACGCAGCAGTTACATCGACCTCATGGTGTGTTGGCAACACTGAATGCTGTGAGAGATGCTGCCAACTATGCAGCACCAAATACCTCGACCCACCTTGAGTCTGTCGCTAGAGTCATTACTGCCTCTCCGGCTCTCAATGTTATCTGTCCTCAGGTTGGTGGCGATTTCTTTTGTTTGCTTTATGTCTTTCAAAGCTGTTGCATTTTTTATCTTTTTTGTATGAACTGTCCTAACAATTTTCTTCTCACTACAATGTTGGACTGTCCTTAAAAGTATCAATAAATATTTGGGAACTAATAATATTGCTTGGAATCAAAGCAGCAAGTTACAGGACAAGCACTTACTCATTGTCTGCTAAAAATTAAAAAGCAAAACCCAAAAGATCGGCAAAGTTTCAAAAAGTAAATATACTGTTAGAACAAATTTCAAGATCCATTTTAATAAAATCAACAAAATTCTATTTGAACTTAAGAGTTAAACAGCATTACTAATTGATTATATTCTCTACTACTTTATGCATGATTGTTTTTTTCATATTATTTAATTTGTCCCTTGGTTTGGATACATTTTATACTTCAAGCATAATTAGAGCTGCAGTATAGTCTGAAAATCCTAAAGAGTTAGGCCTACATAAAGTGGTGTCTATTAATGCAATTTTCACTATGTTATAACCAATTCCATTTGAAATTAAGTGAAATTTATTTAATACTTTCTCCCCAGATTCTTGAGGTGTTGGACTCAAAGGAGGCAGAAATCATCAAAGTTGGAGTGATTTGTGTCAAAACACTTCACAGCCGAGATCCTGTTGCGTGTGAATCTCACTTACTGCAGCCAATCACAAGACCTCTCCTGAATGCTGCGTCTGAACAAGAAGTCACCGTTAGTCTCCAAAGACTTCACAAGTGTTTTTCTGTCCCAGCCAGTGATCTATGGTGTCTTTCAGTGGAGCTTCTCACACCTTACATCCATGTTTTGTTCTCTCTCTACACCAAAGTCTACCAAAGTGTATCGTCCGTTCGTCAAACTGTCGAAGATTTAGTATGGAGATTTTTATCGAAATGCAAAGAACCTATGTTGAACGTCATTTTACGTTGTCTTTTATACCGAGAAAGAGTTGGTGGGGTACATATTAAGGACGGTTTGGAATTTGTTTTCGGAGATGATGGAGGCGTGAAACATATTGAATCAGATGTGGAACACTCTTTAGAGGAGTTCGGAGATTGTTTGATGATACTGTTGGAGAGAAGAGATAACTCTGGTATGTTGGGGAACAAACTTTTTACAACACTTCTTGAATTTTCCTCTGAGAAAAAAGAGTGCACCATTGATGGATTCGAACAACAACTGCTCACTTTGAAACTACTCGCTGTGCTTTCAGAAAACGCAGAAGTGCAAAAGAGTTTAAGCATGAATCCACAACCTGTTGTGAACTTTTTGAAAACAATGATCGAAAGGCATTCACACCATGAAGAAAATGTGGAAATTATCTGTCTGGTTTTGGTTGTTCTGAATGTGATTCTCAACGATAGCATTCATTCTAAATCGGTTAACTGGAAATTTTTCAGTCCACTTGAAGAACCGCTGTCAAAGCTTAAAGGTGAAGCCAAAAGTGTCGAACTACAGATGTTGGCTGAAGAGGCGTATGAAGTGATAACATCTAGGGGTGTTGTTAGATCTAAAAGTAAAATTACAAGTAATCAGAAAACACCGCAAAATAAACCGTCAGAAATTAAAAGTGCTGCAGCGGAAAAAGATCTATTCAGAGAGGCCCTGAGGGACTCATGTGATCCACTACTTCCTGTTAGAGGACATGCTCTTATACAACTCGGAAAACTTCTGGCCTCTGGTGACAAACTGGCAAAAGTAAAAAAGGATCAGATCTTATGCATTTTTCAGGTATGTGAAATGGGTCGGTTTCTTTTAAGTTTCCATCTTATAATAATGAAATAATGAGTTTATTCCTTCAAAACAAATAAATACAAAATAATACAATCACTTGGAACTAAGTTGCCACATTATCCAGTAATCGTGGTAATGAAATAAATCTTGAATGAAGATTGTTAGCTGAACTTAAAAAAGGTATTCTCGTCCCTTTTATTTCCAAACATTGGCTAGTGCAGCATCGGCTTAGTCAATTAACATTGCCATAGCTAAAGTAGTATATTTACTGCCATACACCCTTTTGTTATTTATTGATTTAACAATACAACAGTTAAGTGAAGTATTTAACACTCAGGAAAATATACTAATCTTGCAAAAGATGAATCAGGGATGGCAGAATTACCCACGAACCCTTAAATACCTTGGACCAGTTTTCAATCCACCAAATTCATTATTCAAATCTAAAGATTATTTAAAAGTAGTTACTGTCTGGATCCTGTATCAGGTCAATATAAATTGGTTAAAAATTGTGTAACCTGTACAATTTTGAGATAGTGAATTTACATTGTATACAGGCCTTTATGTACCACAAACATACCTCAACGTTCTGAATTCATACATCTATGAAAATGTATCTTATGTTTCAGGAAAATTTAAAAGAAGAAGACTCATTCCTTTATCTCAGTGCCATTGAAGGCCTGTCTATCGCCGCTGCTGAATTCCCAGACAGTGTCATTTTGTCGTTGACTGAACAGTTCAGCCGTCGGACTCTGAAGCCGGAGACTAGAATGAAAGTGGGCGAGGCCTTAGTAAGAGTCATCAAGATGCTAGGTAAGTTCAAATCATGTTTCAAATTGTGTAGTTTCTACGAGGACCATCCGGAAAGTAACAGACATTTCGCATTGGTGCTATCACCGCCAATTTTGTATCAAAGCCTTCCTACACTCATGACGTATCCAGCTACGGTAATGTGAGCGTCATTTCTCTCGTACTTTGTCTGTATTGGATTGTTAAAATGAGCGCTGCCATTGCACTTTCCCATCATTTGTGAGGTGGGCTATGTGCTCAAATTGTTTTTAGAAATTTTACCCGCCGATTGATATTTTTATTGTCTTGTCATGTTTGGGATTTTTATGGCAAAGGAGTAATGAGTGAAGACAGAGTAAGGAGTTGTGCATAGACTTAAAAAAAACTTAACACTTTTTTTCCGCTTTTGTTGTAGTCTTCGTGGAATATCAGTGTCTGTTGGTGTGATCATCTGTTAAGATTTTTGGATACCACTGGGCAGAAAAATTGTGGTGACCAAGTTATTTAAGGCGGTTTTATGAACCAAACTTGTAAAATTTGGAGAAAATGTTCCTATAGTTCCATAATTATTGTAAAACTGTGATTTTCACAGATTTTGTCATTGAATTTCCTTACCAGTTCAACACAGGCCTAACACTACGGTCCTGATCGTGAACATTAGTTAACTAAAATTTTTAAAGTTAATTATTTTTAAAGTTTGCAGTTGAGGGAGAAGCCTATTTAACATATGGTTTTAAACGAACCAATGAGAACCGTGCGGTGTTGCCAAATCTAATAATACCAGCTGATTTGAAAATATTGCTTAGTATATATTTTAATTAGTGTTGTCAATGGGCAATGTGGCAACTTCGCACTAGCCTTGTCTTGTGTGATTGGCTGCCACCAACTGCAAACTTTCGCGGTCCCGACTTAAGTGATAAATTTCAATTAGCTTTTCATCTTTGCCAACAAAAATCTGACCACAGAGCACATCTAAATACTGGCAGGAGTTGCAATTGAAGCCCTAATTTTAACACTCCACTGCAGACAAGTACGAGAGATATGATACGCACAAGTACGTAGCTGGATTTGCACTGAGTGTAAGAACACTCTGGTGCTAAGGTGGCAGCGATAATTGCACTGCTTCAAGCGGTGCCTCATTTCCCATGACCTATCAAAAGTACTCTTGTGACCCACTAGTAGGTCGCAACCCACAGTTTGGGTAACGCTAGCTTTAAAAAAACTATTTGAACAACATTTGATCTTTAAATTCTGTATTTTACCTCAATACCTCTATGTATTGATAGTTTTACAAATATTCAATATTTATTGCCTAATTGTTTACCTGATACTACTGCATAATCTATAATATTAAAACAAAACAGGGTTTTTTTATTTCACGATTCTGAATCAACCACTTGACGGATTTTCATGATTTTTGTGTTGAAAGAAAGATAATTTTGAGAACTAGGGAATGTCGAAGCCATAATTTTAGTTAAGGGTTTCAGTTTTTTAGTAATTAAGTTTTAATTTTTAAAAAGTCTAGCAGCCGACGCTAGCAATTTAAAGTATTTTCAATGCTGGTTTAACTAACAGCTGGTTTATAACTGTCATTGAAATGTTTATGTTACGAGTTGTTTGTTTACAAAAATATTGTTCGTTGGTGTTTGCCTACATACTATTTCACTTTAAAATGTAGGTAGTTTTCCCCTACCGTGAAGGATCTGCGTTATCACTGTTATCAGAAATGTGTTATTTTGAACTAAACATCTCAAACACTTGAGTTTAATCAAGTTTTGTCGTAAATGCAATCTGTGAAAGTATGCATTGCAAATTTCAACTCATATTTGGGAAATATTTGTTCAGCAGTTTATCGCTTAATTGTTTAAGATATAAGTGGTTTACGTGTTGATACTTCTTTTTCTATATGTTTGAATGTGAGTATGTCGGCATACTAAAATTTTGGTTAGTAATGAATGCGTCAATCGGTGTAGTAGGTCTCTATAAAACTGTCAAATAAACTGCAGGGTGCAGCAGAAACCAAAGTCAACTCATACCATACCAACTATCCCAGTAGTACCGATGATTCAGAAACTTGGGCACTGACCAAAGAACCGAAAAACCTTAATGCTGGGTTAGATAATAAAGTGCAGAGAAAATATACAGACCAGTTCAAGATAACGGCCCGGAGGTCGAAATAAAAAAGAACAGAGAGCTAAGAGAAATATGTTAACACCCAAATATAGGGATGCTTTCCAGAAGTAGGTAACGCTTGGATGGACAGGCATAAACTTTTAAAAAGTATATTCCAAGGAGTACCACACGATAGACGGGAAATATCAAGTTAACTTATGAAATGCATCCTCAGACTGGGATCTAAATTTTGAAGAGGCAGGTGGTAGAAGAGAACCCTCATAAAAGTTTCAGTGGTCACGGAGGTAAGATAAGGTATGGTAAGTACATAAGTAGTACAGTATGCAATTGGAGGTAGCATGTAGTACTCTACTCAAAACCAGTGCGAATCAGTCGCCAATCTCACTTCAAGATTTTTCAAATTGACACAAATGCTGTTTTATGGTAAAATTATCGGATTTAAAATGCATATCCCCATATTTTAGGTCTATAATCGAATGGAATAAATAGGTGGTCACGTTACATTTGTTTATAAGGTGATCTTCCCCATTAAAACTGCCAGAATTTGTGTCAATGCGTGTAAACTAGATGTTCTGAATTATTCCGTTTTAGTTGACAACTCGAATCCCGTACGTAAGATGGGCCACCAGCTCGTAAATGTTAAAATTGTTTTCCAATAAAGGGTTTATCCCTTTAAAAGCCTTGACGTTTATTTTGCAGGAGATTTGATACCGGTTTACAAAAGTGAACTGATCAACACTTTCCTTTCCGGGACAAGAGACGATGACTTCCTAGTACGAGCCTCAAGTCTCTCTAACCTTGGAGAACTGTGTAGAGTGTTGGGGTTCCGGGTGGGACCCATCATAGCTGAGGTAGGGAATGTCACACTTATAGTAGAAGTTGAAAGTTAATCATAATATGGTAGGTGGAGTTTGAATAAGTCAGAAGCTTGACCAATTATGAACATGAACCAAACCAAGTTTGTAAATATTTTTTTACCTACGACTGTTTTTTTAGAGTAGCCATTTCAGTTCAGTTCTTAGAATTCAAAAGTTTCACTTAACAGCATTGAGAGAGAAGAAGTAAAGTTGTAATGATTTGAATTTCACTTATCAGCTGTCAAGTTAATTTAATTGTTGAGTGTTGCAAGTGTTTGGCACAATGTTTCGTTGCATCACTGTTAGTGACAATGAGAGGTTATAAACGAAAACACAACCTCTCTTAGAAGTTATGAGTAGTGATTTTTAGTAATTAAAACACTGTTGTAGGTAAAAAGTAGTGTACGCAACTCGCGTAAATAGTGTTAACGACACTCGTAGAAGTTTTTAAGGCACTCGCCAAGGCTCGTTCCTTAAATTTTCTACTTGTGTTGTTAACACTATCTTTGCGAAATCGTTGCGTAAACTACTATAACACGTTTTTCATGCTGAAATTGTTTGTAAACTTTCCAAGGTTTTAAACGATTCCAAATAAATGCCTGGGTTTTAAAATGATTGTAACATTGGAACAGTTGTTCAAAGTGAAGTGAGCAGTAACCAGTTACTCAATTAGTTCTTTTGTAGGGAAAGTGGAATGATAAATTTACTTTTTGAAGTAGTCTTACATTAGGAGAAAGGAAAATATCAGAGTTATATAACTTGTCACTTTATACTGTGTATCTATGTGCCTGTGGATTTTTATTATCTCAAGTTAAGCTCTCTAAACTTCTCGTAGAACTACACTATTGGTCTTTTTTTTTACTGTCAGCTTAATTGTTACAATTTTTTTGATCTATGTTATTGTTTGTTTTTGCATCGTAGGTTTTGATGTGTGTTCGCTGTATAGCCCAGTCTGATCCGTCTGTTGAGGTTCGTAGGGCTGCAGTCATGCTTGTCTCTTTGCTACTGAAAGGACTAGAAAAAGATGTTCTCACAGTGAGTACTGCACTACTTCATTTTTAAATTCTTTTAACTTAGTCATTATGTCATAGGTCCCAAAGTGTTCATTTCAATTTTGTATTCATTATAATCAAAGGATGTGTTAAAGGACATTTCTACTTCTTGTAAAAAAACTGCAAAAGTACCATAATTGAAATGGTTCACAATGAGAAAGAACAAATTTGTTCTTTAACCCTCTGAGTGTCCCTTATTTTGGCCTTAATGTCTGCCTATTTTTTGCTCATTTGCAAGGTTTTATTAAAACGGATCTGAGAAGCTTGAAAACAATGTTAATTATACTGTTCTATATACCATTTTGTTTGGAAAATCATGGGCTTCAATATTATACATAGAACATAAGAAACATTTGTTTCAAAAAAATTTTTTAGGTAAAAAAAATTTTGGAAAATTAAAAAAAAAATAAGTTTGCGCTCAATGAAATTGTATAAATTATAGGCCTATAAATATTTGAAAATAGCCACTTTGTTCTAAATTTTATGAGGATTACAAATATATAATAATATAAGGAAGTAGATTTGCAAATAAATAAGTTATGGGCAAAAAACTGATTTCAGTACATAGCGTTTAGCTAAGAATGCATAGCCTAACCATAGCTAGGAATCTGGCTGATAATTTACATCAATATCACTACCTACTTCTTCAGGATCATCAACCAGCCCTTCAAAATCACTTAAATCTTCTTATAATGCACCACGTATATCACTACTTTTGATTTTTAACACTAAAACAATGATAAACGTAATAAAACACATCAGTCATCGGTCCGAGGATAACCAAGCTGTTTGCAAATACGCACGTCAGCTGTCTGCTGCAATATTTTTGGAACTAAAATGAATAGCGCTTAGAGACAGACCTCCGGAGAAAGCTCTGAATCTGTAAAATAAAACGATACCTAACTCGATCCAGTTCAATCCGATTTTGTCAGTCATAGAGCCTTCGCCGTAAACAGTGTTTGTGAGTCGCTGCAGCGACATAAAACACTACACAAAGTGTGTTATGTGTCGCTGCAGCGACAAATAACACTCGGAGGGTTAAGTTTCGTACTCCAATGGTATAGACAAGTTAGTTCTAAAATTTACATCATAGGATCACTGTGACTATAATTAAATCTGATATAACTTTTGTTGGGTGTTAAAAAAAAAACTTGAAAAAAATACTGCAGTAACTTAGTTCCTTTGCAACCCTAACTACTTCACTGTTTATGTTCAATCTTCAAGAAATTCTCATTTGAGTAATTTGATGTATCTTATTATCTGATCGTGATAGAGGTAATCAAAGATACAGTAATTGAAACCTAGGAACTAGGAAGGGTGTTTTTTAAGTAAGGGCCATTCGTGCATAAAGCTCCGTACTTTGATGTACGCCACAATGAGGTGCCATGCCACTTGCTGACATAATTTATAAACAGATTTGCACTATTTTCAAACTCTCTAACCTATTTCTGCATTCTTCCCTCCCCTCAATGCATTCAGTCATGTGGCGATGAGTGTCTGAATCGGATTGTTTCTTGCAGTCAAAAAACTTATCAGTGACTTTATCCTGCACATATGGTGGAAGATTAAATAATTTTTAAAAATGTCGAGACCTAGCATACACAGTAGCCACCTCCATCACTGAAATAGTGCGATTCTATTCCCAAATAATGTCGGTTAGCGGCGCACCGTCTCATTGCAGCTTACACGCTAACTACGAAGCTATATGCACAAATGGCTGTTTTATAAAACACACCTCATACAATTCTTCCTGAAACCCCAAGTATACTCATCCCTCCCCTTTTCAGGTTTTGCAAGATGTGTTGTTAGAACTTTACCACACTCTGAAGCACATTTACAACAATGACCGAGACGATGTGACGAGACTTCACGCACAACTAGCTCTGGAGGAACTCAACGCTAGCACCTTGATGTTTCTTTTCCCCAAACCACAACTGACCAAACAGATATTTGTACTGGATCCACCCTCCTGATAAACAATTTGGTAACATTATGTCTTTATCAATTAAACCTCGTCATACTTGGCAATCCCTTGGCTCCCAGGTCTTTACAAATATTCCCATACAGAAATCAGACTAAAAGATACTCTAATAAAGTAGTGAAATAAGATCTTATCCACCCATCAGCCCCGTATTCTCAACTATTTGCCTAGGTTAGTTGTCCACTACTAGGAAAATTTATTAGTTGATGAAAGATAACTTATCCCCCCAAGTTAGTTATATTTAATTTAATGATAATTTTGCTGTGATCGCGGAAGACAATGATGTCTACAAGACCGTGTACTATGTTCAGACGTTTGCTGCAATCGCGGAAGGTGGTTATGATGTTTCTGATAAATCGATTATTGAGTGTTCGATACGGTATATAGAGTTTGTATATGAAAAACTTCTCTAAGACTAGACGTGTTATTTGGCCAATAATATCCTAAATAACTTCTTGATCAGCATTGTACGTGTTATTAAATTTACGGAAAGTAAATAAAGATACGTCTTATAACACTTAAAACATATATTTACGCTTATACTGTTACACACAAGACGGTAAATATACAAAAGATGGTAAGTGGTGGTAAGTGGTTCACCACTTACCATCTTTTGTATATTTACCGTCTTGTGTGTAACAGTATAAGAGTAAATATATGTTTTAAGTGTTATAAGACGTATCTTTATTTACTTTCCGTAATAATATCCTATGAAGTTGGATAGTCAAGCAATGGTTAGAAGATTATTCTAGAAAATAAATTATAAAAACATTTTAATAAATTACAATACAAAATTATATCACATTGCATAATGAAATAGCTTACGAAGGAACTAACAACGTAAAAAATAACATACCTAATAAACTTTATACTCTAGTGTAACTTTACATTTCTTATTACAATCCAAACACTATCTAGAAATATACTAAGCTGTTTTTACATAGCCTATAAGTTCTACAGACCATTATTTATTTAATAATGAAAGCTATACTCATAAACATTTTTCACAATACAATTTGCTAATCGTAATTAGTTTGGAAACTAAAATCTTAATTATTTGTCATTTGAAAAGGGTGGACACTTATTTCGATTTGACAACTTTGACCCACACAGATTTAACTCTTTTCATAAACGTTATTTTTTTGGGTTCAGTAGTAAAAATAGTTTTAAAAGACAATAATTTATTTAAACTACCAATAATATCAAGTTTTAAAAATTTGTAGCCATAACTACATTAAAGACTTGCCAATCATATTTTTTTATTGGGTTTGGATATGTTTACTCTCAATGCCCTAATACAATTGTAACTTATTTTAAAAATTTATTCCAAATTTTTGGTTTTTTTAGTCAATCTTTTGAAAGTACCTAATGTGTATGTCCAGCTTTTCTTTCAAGCTCAAAACATGTTTCGACATGATAAGAAGTAAACTTATCATCTCTTGCCACAATACATTCAGTTTAGCCCCATAAAATATTTTAGTCTTCACATCAAACTAAAATAATTTAACGCAATTCACATTTTAGCCTAAGTGTACATTGTACACCATAACGTTTGATATTAAAACTGTATCCATTCACTAGTTTACTTGTTGATCAAGCTTCTGATTGCGTTGCACACTCCGGTCTGATGGTATCCTGCCAATCTACGTTCAGAGACACGCACGTTTCTTGTAGAATCTCGTTACACACACCTTCCCTCAAGATATTCTCATCTCTCTCTTCACAAACGTCATTGGCCGTCTCAAAGTCCAGCTCTGAGTCTCGGATGGAGTTCTCATAGTTCTCATCAACTGTCGAGTTTGATGTGTAAGTCGTGTCATCGGACAGTATTGATTGTCGTCCTACAACAAGAATATTTCCGGTTTATAATCTCGGTTTGGCATCGATACTTTCATTGTAAACACTGGCATTTTGAAATTTAAGATTGAGGTGGAAACAAAACTTGTGCTGCTTATTTGACTATCTACATTGATGGCCATCCTGTTAATGGGATGAATTGTATTTTAAAATTACAAACCCATAAAATTACAGTACATTAACTAACAAACAAGACTATTGGAAATGCAACAAGAAGTACTGTTACATTTAGCTATAATAGCCTACAGATTCTTGTCCAGATTGTGATAAATATTGGGGAAAGGTATAAATAAGTTATTCTAGTGTTACGACTACAGTATTTGAAAATGGTCTGATAATAGTTTATGTACTCTAGAATTCTGTAGCTGTAACAACACTGTTATACACTGTGTAACATTTTCACCACGTTTTGTGCTCATAAATATAGTAAATGTTTTTACATTTTTTGGGAAAGAACATTCAAAACCCGACCCGGGTCTTGTTACTATCTAAAGTCGAATTTTGCACCATTTCTGTAGGTAGAAACTGTTATGTTGCTGGGTGCTAAAGTAAAAAAAACATGATAAAAACCAACCACAGCTTATATTGGTATAGGATCTGCGCAGTAAAAACTTTAAGTGGTGATAAATAGTAAATTTCATAACAAGAGTAGAAAGTGACTCATTACATATTTGAGACCATGTTTGAAGTGCGAGATTTATCGAGCACTTTAAATGGTTGAGAATATGTATAGACCCACTTTCACTTGTGTTTTGTACGTTACTTCTCGCTACACTACAAAGAATAATTATTTTCTTCATTACGAAACTCGTAGAAGTTTTTAGGTTATGCCTTCAATTTAAAGTTTATATTTTACTTAAGTTGTTGAAATTGTAACAGTTGATAAAACAATGACAAATATTTGTGTTTATGTCAGCAAAATCCAAAAATAGATAGTAAACATTACTTTCGCATAGTAATGAGAAAAAAGATTATTATTATAACCATCAAGTATCAAAATAAAGACTCTATCTAATTGTTCTATTTCATAACAGACAATATCATACATTCAAAATCATAAAAAATTGTCACCAAATCACTTTAAAACTAACAAACTCATGAAAATTAAAAACTAAACGTTTCTTACTTGATTTTGTCTTGAGAGGCATAAACCACCAAACCGTAAGTCCAATCACCACAAGTCCAGCCGCAATGACCACACACAACATAACTGTGTGGGCCTCGGACACTTGTTCTGCAAAACATGTTGATTGTCACTTGGTGTTGACTGTTGAGTTGTAGCTAATTGGTACTAAACTGATGTAAATGAGATCTCACCACTGTTTATGTTTCTCTAGGAAACTATTGGTTAAGATATACGTCATGTATCACTGGGAATTTGTAGGTGTGTCACAATCAATCTCTTGGAAATTAGTAGTAAAATTATGTTGATAATGTTGATAAAAGTTGGTGGGGGATATAATGTAGTTTTAAATATATATAATCTACAGAACTTATTAGGCCTACTCAATGTAATAATTTTTTAGCAAAATGGCAACCTGAATCGATGTATTTTGTTAGTTTATTTGAGTCCAAAATTACTATACAGCCATAAAAAATTGAAAGAGCATATAACCAACCATTCAAATATTGACAAATATTTCCCACATTTGTATTTTCAATTTAACTACCATCCCAACCTTAAATATGACACGTCAGTTTCTACTTTCTTCGTAAATATAGTTTGTAAACATTCAATTTCATGATGTTCTTTCCTGAAATTAAGATACAACAATACTTCACATACAGACATTTGCTGTCCCGTCCTATCGTAGAACAAATTTCTGGCACTCAGTTCCCTCCAGACTTTTCATGAGAATTTATAATTGGACTGGCAAAGATAATCAGAGAACACAATTTATAATAGGTAAGAGCGTCAATGTTCTATGAAAACGTTTTCAAATTCTACGACGAGACTAATCGTCCCATGCGGAAACCGGCTAGAATATTAGAAGATTTAAGGAACACAACATTGGTCTTAGATACTTAATTTACAGACAACCTTCGTATTTTGGCAAAACTTCTCAATTGAGCCAGCTTTCTTTTCCAATCAAAACTAAATCTTTTAATCTTCAACAATATAAATGAACTTATTTCCAATCTATAAACATGAAGACAGTTTTACCAGCATAGGCACGAGCAGACTCATCAGACAGTTGTAGTGCTGACGCGTGAACGTTGTTGTGTTCGTGAACCTGGTTGTCTACTTCGGCTGCCTCTGGACTCGTCACACCGTTGCTTGTGTGAGGCAAGTTGAGTCTGAAAAATTGTATGAAGTTATTTACCTTGAACAGCTTTTTATTTTAGCTTATATAATTTATTTATTTTACACCCAAAACATTTTAACAATACTCAATTTTACTTTACAATCTCCAAAATGTTTACTGACCAAGAAAAAAAGCACTCATTATTCATGATACTAGGTCTATTCTGTGTCTTTGGCAAATCTGACTATTAGGTACAATATAAAGAAGCCACTGTACTTGTATGTCCTTTGGTTATCTAGAGTGAATAGTTTCTTTTCCATCATGGTTCCTTCTTTTACCATTTGAGCTCGACTCCCTTTAAGTTTGTAAAATTAATCCTTCATACTAGTTATTGGATAAATTCATACATTGCTGTCATATCATTATGTGTATTTTAGGTCAAGGATTAGCTTAAAGTGAACAAGATTATAGCTTTGTTACTAAGATCAGCTGTGCCGTTAATCAAAACCATTTACTAAAAGTCAAACGATCAAGGACAGCTGAGTCCAAGTTTAGAAACAGAACAAATTCAGACATTTCTCAGGAGTACTACCATAGAAAATTTTTAGTATAAAATTGGAAACTGGAATAGTTGGGAGTATTTTCAATTATGTTAGATGCCACAGAATTTCCATTACCACTTTTCGATGTAAACCACTTTGATTTAAAACTGGTGCAAGTATATTTGATCAGTGTAAACAGCTGACTTTAACAGGCACCTACATAGTGAGAGATACCAGATATTATATCGAAATAACAAGTCTTACCCTGCTCTGACAGTGAGTGTCTCTGGTTGGAAGGTACACAAGACCAGGAACCTGCGAGTACTGTGTGTCAGGATAGGGAGGTTCTCTTGTACGAGGATAAACGTCTCGACAGCAGTGCGGTTCACCTAACAACACACCAGTAAATAGATCAAATATCAAGTGTAATACCTTTGACTGTTGGTATAACTAGACTTTCCATATTCATGTTAGATTTGTACCCAATTTGAAATAAAAATGGTGATAGTTAATGTGACAGAATGTGCTGGTGTAAATTATATATTTTTGTCGGATACAACAAATTTTTTGACCAAGCTAAGCTAAAAAGACAACTAATGCTTCTTAAACACTAGACAGCTTTGGCCGTACAGTTTTTGACCATACGGGTAATTTTTTTGTATTGCCTAGTGTCCTAGAAAAAAATCCTCAAAGAGAATAGCCAGTTTACCTTGCTGCCACATAGATCGTGATCTATCCTGAGTGTGTAAGAGTCCTGTGGACTTGTTGGGTCTCCGTCTACACTACAAGGTCCCGGTACCCCTGCGGCTACCTCCACAGCAATGCGGCCGCTGAAGTACGGCCCCGTCCACACCTCCACCTCACTCGCTGTGGGTAGACATAAGCTGGCTCTCGCGGAAACTGGGAAAGCGTGACAATATGTAAAAGATTATTTGAACGATCGTGTGAATAGAAAGGACTTGTCCTGTTTGTAAGTTTAACCATTAACTGGCTGGAGAGCAATAGTGATTAGTGAGTCCTTCATTCTTCTTCTCTGATACATTTGTCTTATTTCAGTAATTATTTAGTTTTGCCTACGTAATTTGACAAGTGTTAGATGAATCCCAGTGAAAATTGTTGAAAGTGTTAGAAACTGAGATGTTATATCAAACTCTTATAACCTTAGAATTAAATTGCAAGATTTACACTCTTTTTGTGTCTTTTACTGGCACTCCACCTAACAAATACGTCAATTACATTTTCAATACTCAATTGTCGTTATTGTTTACTTTTAGTTAGGAAAGTAACTTTAAAATCAAAGATAGAATAGAACTTTGTGGTGATTAGAATAAATTGATGCAAAGTTGAGAAATAAATGTCTAAAGATTTATAGGAGACCATATCAGCCCAACCATTAAACTCTTTACCTTCGATTATTAAATCCGAAAAGCACAAAAAGTTTAATCTAAAAGATAATAAGTAAATTATTGTTATACACAAGATCCTGTAAACAATCCAGATGCCACAGTTAACATTGACTAATAGGTTTACAGTCATAAATCTCTATGTCTTACATCCTTTAGTGGTGACCACAATTCTCTCGGCTGCTGGATTGAGGTTCCAAGGAGCCGAGGCCGGAGGTTGTACGTAGAACCTTGTCCTACGAGACTCTCTCGGCTGAACCTCAAAGCTGTAATTGGTCGCCATCCTGAGTCCGTTGACAATCACTGAGTATGCTCGGAACTCTGGATCACCCATGTAAGGTACCCCAGACGAGGCATCTAGAAACTACAACTGTCATTAAGCAATTTTTCTATTTGAATCTTGTGTGTTACCACTGAGGAAGTAAATTTGCATTGAAAATGTGTAAGGCTGTATATTAATTTGGCATACCAAATAATGAAGATTACAAGAGAGTTTTAAGGGATATTTTTCATTACAGTCACAAGAAAAGTTAAAGTTAGAGCCAGACCTGGAAACAGGCTTGTGGAATCAGGCAAGTTGCAAGTGATGTGCTATGGGCCCAAGAGATATTTGCGCACCTTCTCCCGTTCCTTGCGGAGAGGGGGAATTCTTCTGCCCCCAAGAAACCTAAACCTCTTATGAATGAATAAATGAACGAATTATTTCTTTATTCCAACAAATTATTTGCAGAATATGTACACAAATATTTAAAGGAAGAAAAAAAACATAAGTGAATTTAAAAGAATAAAATAAAATTAACCTTTACATTACATCTATGTTAAAAAAAAGCGTACATGTTAAAAGGGAATAAGCCGACATGGGCAGCGAGACTGTGCGTCGACTGTAGTTGCGTCCAAACATAACATTATTTATCAAATGCAATAAATAAATAAATGACAGGAGATATGATGAGGTGAAAATATGATTATGCCCCTGGGCCAGGCTCAGTTTACTAAAGCGGACTTGCCTGGAAAGATAAGAAGGAACAGAGGTTTATACCCAAGGGTTCCTGATCCAGAGAATGAAAAATAAGTTGTGTCTCACTGGAATAACTTAGGGCATTCATTTAGTAGGAAAGATTTAATCATTATTTTATTTTCTATTACTATTGAACTGACCACTAATTGAATGTTATGTGTTTTAAACATTTAAGTTCTCTATAAAAATCTTGTAGTGTATTGATGGAGATAAATCCAATATTTGTTTCACTACATATATTTATGAAGAATTTTAAAAATATATCTCAACTTATGTTTCTGTAGCTGCCATATTCTGAATTAAAACCTTACTGGAACAAAACTGTTTCCACAGTGAAAGTGTGATTGAGTCAAGTTATTTAAGAGTGATGTCAGCATATTGCAAAATTTAGCTACAAAATACAGTGTACTAATTTTAATTTAAAATTACACTTGGTTTTTTTATGTTTGAATGATCATACATATACAGAACAAATGCTCTAAATGTATAGAAGTAATTAAACCTAAAAGCTAAACAAAATGTATCACTATTCATGTAATTAAGAGAGTAAAAACTAAGTTAATTAGTGGCAAATTCTTTGTCAGCTCATTTATTAAAACTTGGATTTTATTAGTCTAGTTACAGTAAGATCATGATGTACCTAGAGACAAGCACATAACATTTAAGATTCTTAGCACAAGTTATTTGTCAAGTTTAGTTTTTAAGCTATTCTCATAAAAACAATCCACTTGTTTGAATTGAGATATTAAGATCCATTAAACACTAGAAAATCTATACTAATAAGAGGCCTAGTTCTTCAAGCGTAAATGTAAACTATCCAAATGAAACCACAGTTAGCCTGTTCTGCACTGAATACATTGCACTGTTCTGCATTGATAATGAATACACTACCGTTTAGTTCAAGCACTCAACAGCTGATAAATAAAATAATACCATTGACTTGACTATAGGATAGTCAAAGATAATACTTGGCAAATTATTTCTCTTTATTTTTGTTGTGTGTTTTTTACACCCATGGCATTTTTTCTGTTTCGAAAGCGACTTGTCAAAACCCTGGCATAGCTACTCTAACGACCCGGTTTATTAGATGGCATTAACTCAAAGCCTAACGACAAAATTGCATCTGGGTCTGGAAAGATCTCTCTTGGAATCGAACCAGCGACCTTCAGATTTGATGGTGAGCACTCTAACCACTCGACTACCCGGACTCTTATGTACAATTTTATGTTGAATATCAAGTTCAAAATCGTATCAGAATATTTTAAATATTTATTATTTGAACTGTAGAGCTTATAAATGGTAAATCTGGACTTTTGTTTACTTTACAACAAGCTGGTTGTGGTTAAAAACACTAGAAAAATAATGGTAATAAAATCCAAACACCATTTTACTCACGAATGGTGAATGATACAGATTAAGCACATAACATAAGGAACACACTTTAACCACAAATGTAATTTTTAGGCATAAAAAAAGAAAAATCAAGGAAATGACGATACAACAGTCAGCTGTTAAATTATTAACACATGATCTATATGATCAGGTGATGCATGGCAAACCCATTACTAACAAAAATCTGTAAACAAAATCAAACATTCATAATTATTTTGCAAATCTACATGGATGAAGCTTTTCATTGACGGTATAGTAGATTTAGTTGTACAAAGTTTATCTAAAATATCTCTAACTTAGTATTTTCTCATAACAGAAGGGCATACCCCCTACTACCCTACCTGCTTACTTGTAACCCTACTTACTATCACATTTTCCTAACTATAAATTTGGAGGTTGCTTAACTTTTTTTGCAAGTAACTCATAAATGGTGTGGAATTGACCAAAGTGGAAGGTTATATTCTGAAAGAGAATTTAAATTTCTTGCTTCATTTACATGCTTTTGATATTTAGTGTAGGTATCCTAGTCCACGCTTGGAGACTGAGTCAGGCGACAGTCGGTAAACACAGTTTTAGATACATAGACATACTGTAGACATGTTTCCGGGGACAAATCACCAAGTGTGGACGAGACTTAACAAACATAGTTTTAGCGTCTCCGAATCTTACTTTGGATCTGCAGCGGTTGGGCCCCCAAGCCTGAAGTTCGCAATAGTCCACCTGGAAGCCATGAAGCCCGGCCAGTTGTGTAGGATATTGCCAGTGTAGAGTGACAAACCTGTAGTCTCCTTCACCTCTCAACTGGTATATCTCTGCAAAATACAAACCAAACACAGTATTTATTATATGAGTACTAAATTTATATTTCCGTAAAATGACAAAATTGCAACGAATGTTTAAGCTGGGCACGATCAGAGTTTCTATGCCTTCTATTAATTCTTGAAGCTGATGGAGATTCTACATTTTCGAGTTTGATTCTTTGGTAGAAATATTAGTTTTAGGCCCCCCCTGAACCCTAAATTAAAAGGTGAATTTCAAAAGTGATGTCTGTGTGTGGGTGTGTCTGTGGATGTGTGCACAGTTACAGACCTATGAATAAAATTATTAAGTATGTGGGTTTTCACTTTTTTTATTATTATGATAACTTTATAGTCATAAAGTTATAATCATAATAACAAAACCATACAACCCCTATTGCTGCAAAAATGACTGTCAGAAAGTGATTTTCCCCATAAAATATCATAGTTACTCCCACCATTCATGATAAGGGTTGTTGGAAAGCTAAAGGGGGAAGAGCAGGTTGGCGATACAGGTTTTAAGTCTAAAAAATGTAATATAGTTTTTTGAATAAGTATCACACTCTATGCTATGTTCTGTATAAACAAATTGGTCTGTAACAATATACAGTATACCAAAATTATTATTGTTATTTCAATCAAAGATGTTAAAGGTTTGGTAGGATTCATTAAAATTGTTTCTTGAGCTACAAAATAACAAGTTAATTAGACTACCACAGCAAGGACAGACTATACGAAAATGTTATATATATGATATTTAAATTCAAGACATGGAAGTAATTCTCAGGATCCTGAAATTGTCTAAATTTCTTCCTCTTGCAACTGTACTACCCTACTTAAATGTTTTATCCTTTATTCTATTAGTAAGCAAGACAGGTTTATTTTTATGCACGTCACCCCTCAAAGAACAATTTGATCATGTTCAATTCTCAAGTTTCCATGACTAAGTCCAGCCTTGGCCTGGGAGAACAAACAAGGAAGAAAAATAATTCCCATCCAAGAAGATTCTCAAGCTCTAAACTCAATGGTGTTTACGTTTGCATAAAAGTTTGTTACTCTTACTCTAAGCTCTATTATTTAGAGCAAGAGTGCTCGTTGAATATTTTCGGAATGGCAATGTTCGTCTATCATGGAACGGCCTTGGACTAGCGGACATGCACGGTTCGAGGACCACGACAATGTCACCAACCTACACAGCACACAGTACACTATAACTGTTGCAGGGCCAAAGACCACGGAAAAACCAACATTAACTTTGATGGTCGTTGAAACCATTGGACGGACTATTGCAAGGCTATCACCACTATCGTTGGTTGAGGATGAAAAACTTCAAACCTCACTCTGGACATGTTAAATACAAAAGGATACTTGAACTTTAATTGACTCTATCGTTCTTGGATTATGACGGGAAATAAATCTAAGGCTACGGCCATAACATAGGACGAATCAATCAACGTCTTCTAATATAATTAGACTAGCTAATTTACCCATCCGTTAATTAGAATTTGTAATGAAAATAGTCTAAATTTAAATTTCCTAATCAAGCTAATTACGAAGTAAGGCCGTTAGCTTGTAAATTAGATAGTTTAGTGGTTTTATGGGTTTATTTAGATAATTGGGAGGAGCGAAATTAAGTAGGAATCCTCAGCAACGATCACGCTTCTGCGGCGTTACTTCTGGATGCAATGCAATTTGGAAGGAAATCTTGTTTTGAGTAAACACTGTGATTGTTTCGACATTTCCTTGTTGGGGTTTGGTTAAATGTTATTGCTAACACGTAGATAAAATAGATTGGAAGCAGTTTAAGAATAAACAACAGTTACATGGTGTCTGCGGGTGTCTGTATATACGAATACTGTTTGTATAATCCACTAATTACCACTTCCCCGCGTTTGTTGTTTGTTTTGTAATGTAATGTCCACTGGGCCAGCAACCAAAACGCCAAATCGGCTGACAAGAACACTATTATCAGTTTTATCACAATGGTGTCTTTCTTAAGTCTGTTAAGATTAGATTAGGAAATACCCCTCATAATAAAAGATTTTTAAAAAGCTTAGAATACTATTTTGCAATCCAATCTTGTTGCAAACTCAACTAGAGTCGGCTCCTATGTGGAGCCATCATCAGGATGTACAAGGACATTTCCTTTTTCATATGAAGAGCGTCAAAACACAAAAATATACAAACATTTAAACACGGCACAAGCCCGGAACATATGGCAAATGATCAGTTATGATAACAGACCAACAATTAAAAGCTTATTTTTTATATGAGAAATTCGCTAAAATAACCACAATTTAATCAAACAGTTGAACGCGGTTGTTGTTGTGTTGTTGTCCTCAAGATTTGTTGTTTGTTTTTACATGAGGGAGTGGGGTAAGAAAAGAGGGGCAAGCCAAAAATGAACAATATTCTCGCATCACTGATCTTCAATGTGGCCATTTGTGTTCACGATTACGTCATAGATCACAATAAAACCCAAAACAAGTCCATCTACAAGTTTTCCCCCTACATAAAGGAATGGATTATGATGTTACTTTATGGATTGGATCATATTAAGCAACTTGTGAGCGGACCAACTCGACCACTCAATTGTGTAATTCTTTTGTATTTTTATTGTTAAAAGGGGCTGCGTACTTATGTGTGTATAAATAATTTATAAGCTATATTATACAGCTCTTTGGTTGTTTTGTGTATGCCAGTCATAATCTACTTTTCAAGTGGTAAACATTGGGTACACATTGGGATAGATCCTTTCATCGTTACCTACAAATATGTGTATAAAATAAGTTCATTGACTTTTCATTTGATTGCATTGACTCCTTTAAATTATGGATGTCCTTATTTTATTTATGGATTTCATTGACTCTTTTCATTGATTTTTTGATGCCAGCCAATTACGGAATCGCATTTTCTATAAAAGTAATTTTGATGGATTGGAAAAGTGGCTTGTACAATACAAATTTAGTCTAAATGACGAAAAAACAATTTAAAATTCTCTGTACACGTTTTATATTGACATAATATAAAAGTTGTATGTGTTTCCTTGTCTAAGTACAGTGTATATCTAAAGGTATAAATGACATTGATACAATTTTGTATAATTTTCTTTGTTCTAATATACGTGATTCAGATATACCATCAACGTACAGTTTAAGCGAAATGCCATGTTTTATAAGAATTTTAAGTTCTAGTCTACGTTACCATGTCATGTCAGTAAGTGATGTTTAAAACAACTCGTTACACTTGAATCATGTAGCAAGTTATATTTATGTACATTTTAATGTATTATCACACTGTAATCATTGGTGGAAAACGATCTTCATTTAATTTACAATACTCGATTTCACAATTTACTGATTAATGATTTGTATTTGAATTTATCTTGCACCTACACAACTATACCCATTACCCTATCCATCATTAGAACCATATACTGTTATAATAAAGTTACGATTTATAAAGTAAATTTTTGTTGGTCTGAATTACGACTTTTTATTTTCGTCCTCGAACTGAAAACAGTGCTTTGTCAATTCGATTTCTGCCTAACACCAGCTAACAGCTTAACAAGCCTGTTTAGTTCATTAGCAACGAAATTACTACTGTAATTCAGTTACCAAATTGTCGTCTCAAACGTTCATCTTGCCTTGGATTGTGGTTGCAATATACAGTCTTAGCAACCCTTGCTATTCTATTAAACTATGGCTCCTTTCAGAACAATCTATTTACATTTGTCAGAAAAAGTTGTTGTTCTGTAGTGTGATTTAGTTGGTTAAACAAAAATAGTAATGTGTGTTTTTACAATTTGAAACCCAAATTGAATTTTAATGATCATTTAAATTTGTTTAAATTGTTTGCACGGAATTATCAGCCATTTGAAGCGTTTATGGTACTCATAAAATATATTTTTGACTTTTATAAATGTTGAAGTTGAACAGTCACTTATCAAATCATTTGTACAGGATTATTGAAATGGAGGTTAGAACCGAGAATTAAATTTCTGTGATCAATATATTTACAACGTATTAGGTGAAAATTTGAAATAGAGTAACAATGTGTTTATTGGTTATATAACATGATTTTTCAATCAACGTGAAGTACAACTCAATGTTAAAAATATATTGACAAAAAATATATTTACCAGGTTAAACATAGTGAAACTAAAAACATTCAAATTCAAGTATTGTGTAAAATATAATTGTTAACACATGAACAGAATAAAAGATCATTGTTGATAAAATATTTCAATTGGCAATTGTTATTAAAGAAACTTACCCTTTTAATCAAAAAGAAACTGACCCTTTTAATCAAAAGAAATATAATTTTAGAATCTTCGTATAAAAATACAGCAATAAGGTAAAACCAGACAATTTTTACCTTTTTACAATCACCTACCACTACTTGTGATATCTACAGCTTTAAAGTAAATGTCACAAAAGTAATGGGGTGAAAAAAGGGCAGAAATTTAATCCTATTACGTGGCAAAACCTGTGAGGGTCGTAACTTTGTCGAACTCAGTACCCGCGTGAAACAACCTGTCATACCTATAACAAATGACAATTTAAAAAAAATTCATAAGATAAGTTCACAAATTGGGACAACACTATCTTCTAAAAATACTTTTATGTACCAGAGATGCATTATATGTATATACAAATAATCAAAAATACTTTTAGTCGAATTTTCAAGTCATAAGAAAACTTTAGAAAATTTAGTTGTTTCTAAACGGTGGTTAAATCTGATTTTAAGTTTCGTGTCGAGAATTCAGTTGATTACTTAGGTTAATAACCGCTGATTTCTCACGCACGTTCTTCAAAAAAAGCTCCATTCAAACATCATGGCCTGGAATAAAATAAGCTCAAATGCCTAAGAAATAAAAATTTCAATTTTACTTTTGACAACGTACATTATTAAAATCCACTTTTTTCATACAACTTATTTCCTAAATACACTTCACCAATAGACTGCCATAGGAAAATTCTGTATTGGCTCTTTTTTTGTTACCACATCTTAGAGGTATATGATTTTTTTACATTTTCACATTAAATTTACCTATATCGGTTAAGTGGCTAAACAATTTGGTTCTTTCCTTGATTGGTCTTACAAGCTATAGTAATTCAAACAAAATATAAATTAGTGGTTGGTTTTCACTCGCTTTTTCTCTTTTTTGTCGGATGACACATGGTGGTGACAGACGAGCCTTATTGCTCACAACTGTCATTCACAGGGCTTAACTCTGAAAACGAAATGAACTCGATACAAACTCCATGTAAAACTTTACTTTGTATAATAAAAATACTCAAAGGTGTATCCACAATCATGTTCAACATATTATATATGATCATCGAATGAATTCATTATAATTCATAAATTAGTTGAGATTGGGAAGCCACCTAGGTGCGTATTTTAACCCGAATATGAGTAAAGAACGAGTGTAGAATGTTGTGAGATGATCTGTGTGGATT